CACACACACACAATGCGCAAAACTCCGCATTTGAACAGTCAATAGCAAATACTTAAACTAATAACAAAACAGTAGCTGATTCAGAAGCGCCAGATTGTCATAGCAAAGTCAGAATTACCTCCTCTCCTAGGTTCACGAAACGGTCGTCCATAAAATGCATTGCTGTTCTGTTGTAAGTAACCTTAAAGATTCCTAAATGCATCTACTTTCGGAAGGCCTAATAAAGTGCTTTTGCTTTCACCTAGAAACACACAGCGTCTCCCTGACATGGCTGCTTCAACACTAACTGCGGTTACTGAAACCACGCCTTCTTTCTTTGCGTGAACATTTGGGCGGCATTATACTAATATTGTCACATAGTGAGGTAGATATGTGGGGGCGTGTTAGAACGAGCCGTTTTAGGGGGGCGTGGCAGAGTCTTAACTTTGATAAAGAATATCTCTTTGGTTTTGAGACTTTAGTCTTTGCAACTTCAGGGATCTTATCTATGCACAATCACCTTGTAACACTCCAAAGAGAAAGGAAAACTTGAAATCGCATCATATGACCCCTTTAAGTTATAAAAGTGCAAGCCGAAATCCGAAGACTTGCGACACAGAAACAGAAACCGGGGTAAAACAAAGGTAAACACTGGCAGTGTTTTTTCAAGATGGAGGAATTTGATGTAGTGTTTGGGCTTCAGTCCATACAGCGAACTTGCAGTGTTTCTTGCGAACTTGCAAGTTAAAGTATTCCTAATATGTTTGACTTTTTATGGAAAGTAGACTACTTTTACCTGTTGAGACATGCCTTCACTTTTATAGCCTCCTGGGACCCAGGCATAGACTTTTGTCCTCTGTAGAGGACATTATATTTGAGTGAATTTCTCTGAGAACCTAACTGTACATGCCACAGTTTTAAGTCTGCATGTCCTGTACAGAGCTCATTCAGGGCTTCTTAGGGATATCAAATGTTCGGAGGTGTGATCATAAACACTCCCTCTCCTTGGTTTTAAATATGACTGATATTGGCAGAATGATCCAATTTAGACAGTTGTTTGAAAATATGCTTTATTTCTGTAGTTTCACTAGGTGACACTAGTAGCACAGAAACGGCAAACTTAAAATACATTCTCTCAACCTAGTTTTTTTTGTTTTGTTCATAGTGCGCAACAGTTCTTTAAATGTGCTGTATGTAATTTTTTTTTTTTTTTTTTTACTGTACTAGAGCTTAAAAATACAATATGTTTGCAGATATTTAGGAAACATGCTAAGTTCACATACCTGTTTCTCCAAAAAACAGCACTACATCTAGTTATTCTACTTTGAAATGTCTGTTTTTGTTTTGGTCTGTGTGATTCTGCCCACTGTCAATTTAGTCCATAGTATTTCGACTCCCCAGGTTGCCAATTGGCGGAGAACACAGCATATTGCAGCTATGGAAGCCAGCAAACAAACGGGGTCAGAGATTACAGAATCTACTTGACCTAAAAAGCCTTGGCATACATCTAAAAAGCTTAATGACCAGAGGCTTATTAAAACATGGATAAATCAACTCATCAGCTTACAGTCAGTGTAAGCAGTGGCGTAGCCCCAATTCTTGGGCCCTATGCAAAGACAGTGTGTGGGGGCCCCTTTCCCATCATCTCATCATCCATACTATTTATCACTGTTTTTTAAATAATAATAGGGCTGGGCAAGTTAACGCATATGTTTATTTTCGCATTAACACATTAATTAATAAATGCCGACAATTATTTTATCGCACATTAATGCAGTTTTTATTATTATTATTATTATTATTTTGAAAGTCCGTTGCTCACTGGCTCTGAATACAGAGACAGACAAACCATGGGTCACAGGAGGGTGGGATGTTGATCGGTACTGGTTTTGGATGGGCGTCATCATGCGTCTCAACCAATTGAGCATTTGGGGTGGGCCTAACACCGTAGGTGCGTTCCATTCGACCGTAAGTGGACTGCGAAGTGGATTTCACAGGGTATTCCGCCATCTTAGTAAGATTCCAATCCGAAGGGAGCAAACGTGTTCAGTTCGAAGGTCACTGCGAATGGCATTGGGAATAAGGGAACATCGATACATCACTTCACAGGAAGTGGAGAGGGAAAATCACCCAACTGTCGTTGCGCACCGCGTTACCAGTCAGAACTATGATAAAGCAGAGCCATTGAATAAAAAAAAAAAAAAAAAGACTCTGCAATGGAGTGGTTGCAATAAATGTATTATTATACAAATTAGAGTATTTGTGAATGGTTATGGCGATTAATGTTACATTTGCATATTGTATTGTATGAATAGGTGAAGCTAATTAAAAACTGGCGAGAAACAGCTGAGGCGCTGTCATTTTTTATTTTGCTTTATTTACCTCAGGTGAGTTAGCTACTTGAAAGCGCACAAGATGAAACCACTACAATCTGTTAACAGTCTAAACATATCAATTTTGACTATATTTATTATATAATAATTGCATAGCCTATGTATTTTATATGTATTTAAATTTAGAAGTAAAATAAATTACAATATTTATTTATGTTATATCATAATCTGCGTGACCCTGTCATTGCCTTTCTATGATGACGTTCCAGGGCGTTTCAAATGAGCGATTTTTGTCAGTAAGTCCACTTCAACGGATATCCTGTGCTTAGGGAGTAGGGAGCACAGCAGTGAACATTGCGTAGGGACCCTGTCAATCGGAACGCACCTCATGTCTACACCGCAAGCGGCACGGCGCAACAAAATACTATAGAACCCATTATATTCAGTGATGCGGCGCGACACGACAAATCCCAGACAGTAAACTGCTGCCTCGTTCTATCTATGAGATACTAACACAAAATTCAAATGATTTGCAACGGTCGCTTTATCACGTGACGTGTCCAGTCATTGTAGACAGTGCTGCGTATTTGAATACATACTCTTAGGGCATAGTATAAGTAGGCGAATTGGGATGCGGCATACTTTTGCTGTCGCATCCGGTGTATAGGATCACAATGAATGACGGCAGGCATGATTTGTCGTGTCGCGCCACGCAGCATCCAGTGTAGACAGCATCACTGATTATAATGAGTTCTATAGTATTTTGTTGCGCCGCGCTGCTCGGGTCCGGTGTGTACACATAGTGTCAAGACACACCATCACAAGAATACACGAGTTATATGAAAAGGAGATTTTAGTTTGATTACATGAATGTTTAAGTTGAGATTTTCAAGAAATATTTGAACTGCCATTATGTAAAGGGAATACTGCTGTAAAAAAGCACCTTATTTGTTTAAAGTGTTTGCAAACCAAATGTTATTGTACTTGTGTTCATACAGCAGTACTTTTAAAATAAAAGTGCGCAATACAGTACTTTTGAATTCATTATTGAATTTTGCACATAACAATGTGATTAATCGCAGAAAAATCATGCGATTAATCGCCATTCAAAAATTGTAATCGTTGCCCAGCACAAATAATAATATAGAAAAGTACACATTTCACTCACTGCTAAAGTAATTGTTGGCAAATCTCTGATGTAAAATTAAAACCAACCATATTAAAAAGACGAATATCATGCCATAGTAACATTTAATAACAATACCTGAAATACTAAATATACATAATCAGATTATGTATTGATATTCATTTTGATCAACAAATGTAACATCATGGATTTTGGTAGGATTTATATGTACAACATTTAATAACAATTCTTTTACGAATCATTGTGAATTCCATTTGACTGTTGGCTATTGTGAGATAATATTTCGTTCATGTTCATTTTGTTACAAATACTTAAAGACACAGAGAATGAACATTTAATGCCAAATATACTTTTTTTATTTCAAAATAATCCTTAGATCCTTCAACATGATTGTTGGCCACAGTACTTGTACTTCCACCGTCGATCCCTGAAAGAAGTAAAACAAGCATGACATTAGTGAGCAACAGAGCACACGGTTTGACAGTGACATGTTAAGACTTGAAATAGATTAAATATTAGAAAAAACATAAGGAGTAAGTAAAGAAATTATACCCACTCTTGAAAATTTTGATGGTAGCTATCAGCGCCCACCAGAAAACTGTGAGGAGGCACAGTCCAGTAGATGTACTCATCAAAGTAGTTCACATATGAAGTCCACTGACAGTTTCCAGAAATACACTTACTTTCACAGCAGTAAAACCTCCACCTGTGTAAAAACATGGTATTCACTTTAGATTAGATGAACGCAAGTGAATTAAAATTTAAACATGAGAATCTGTCAATCATTAGAGCTCACATTCTGTCCTCATAGTAGTTGTCGTGGTGGCTGCTCATTCCTGCAAGTGCGTACTGTGGTTTACACTCAAAAGTGAAAGTTTGGTCAAAGTTGTTGATGTAAGGTGACCAGTAACAGTCTACAGCCTTGCTGGTGGGTTTACAGTCAAAGTCCCAACGTCGGTCCTCATAGAAATTGTGGTGTTCACTTTGATGGAGGTGTTCTTAGGAATGGAGAAAATAACATATTATAATTGCATTGATATTTATACTTAAATTTGAAAAGGTTAAAGATTAACAATTTAATACATTCATCCATGGCAAAGCTAACCCTAACATACAATTTGTGAATTCAAAAAAGTTGTATGCCTTCATAGTAATGTTTATAATAGCTTGATACATATTAATAAGTGATACTCACCTTCTTATGGAGGATATAGACTGGCCTGAAGGACAGTTAAAATTTAGAGGCTGATCGTAGTCATTTTCCCACCCTATGTAAAGTTAAACACAAAACCAATATATGGATAAATATATTGGAATATATTTAAATATCAAATAACAAAATAAATGCTGCAAATAAAGCAGATCTCAATCTTTCAAAGATACACATAGATATTTGAGGAAAAGGATCAGTGTAAAATGCTAACACATATTTAGTGAAGTCACCCACCTTGTCCAGTGGCCAACAGTCCTGTCAGAAGCAGAAACAGAGCAACCCTCCACATGGCCTCTTGCGTTCGGGGATGCAGTTGTGTTTTGTGGTGTTTAACCAACGTTGTGATAGCGCTCATTTGACTCATTCTTTTAAATGCTTATCGTGTGGCAGTGGCCAATCACAAGTCTGACAATTTCTCTTCTGACTATAGCACTGGCCAATCACGTGTCTGCAGGGTTTGGTGGACTGCTAACTTTTGAACAGGATGTGCAAAAATGTTTGTTTAAATGGGTCATGACATGGGTTTTTTGGTGTGTTTTATTATGTTCCCTTAGGTGCAATTATAATATTACTATAGATTTTTCTTCCAATACAATTTTCCGAAAGATGGTTTTGGTCATTTAAGGAAGTTGTTTTCACACTGATATATGTTCAATTGTTCGTTTTTGTGATAAGTTTGATTTTAGCTAGTAATTTGATGCTATAAAAACGGGGCGTGTCATTATGGTTGATTGGGTCTGTGGGAGTTTGGGCATGAGTTTGATACCGCGGCTCCACCTCACGACACTACTGCGCAGACTCTGGCTCCAAACAAATCTCTACTGCGCAGACTCTGGCTCCAAACAAATCTCTACTGCGCAGACTCTGGCTTCAAACAAATCTCTACTGCGCAGATTCTGGCTCCAAACAAATCTCTACTGCGCAGACTCTGGCTCCAAACAAATCTCTACTGCGCAGACTCTGGCTCCAAATGACGTCATTTACTCAAGATGGCAGTGGCCATACTGAGATGCTTTGGGTTCACTTTTATATAGTGGAAGGAATAGGATATACGTCCATCTTTTTTACAGTCTATGGTCAGAACACATTACTTACAGGCACGGCCTAATCTTTGAGCAAAAGTGTTCTGGCAAAGCCAGCATCATACTGCGATTTGTTCTCAAAGCAGTCATCCGTGAAATGTAGTGAACACAATCTTTTTAAAATGCAGAAAACAGCAGAAAACGCCTCTAATTAATTAATCTTTGGTAGATACTGAGACTAACTACTTGACTGACCAAGATCACATGAGGCCCAAAAACACTTTTTTTTTTTAAGTGTCATAGATGTGCGTCACCCTCATCCAGGTTTCAATCCCACTCGAATGCTTTAAAATGATTAAGACAAATCTAAAAAAAAAACTCCAAAAAGGGAGCAGCATCCAAATAATTGCAGCCTTGGTGAGCATAAGAGAGAAATTGTAATATTTTCAAACATTTAAGATTTATGTACACAGCACACTTCCCGGATCAGGTATAGCTAAATCAGGCATAAATAATTGTTTGAGGTTTACAGGGAAATTAGTCCCAGGTACAGAGTTTGGTCTGAGAAGGAGTATGTGGATGAGGCAGCATTTGAGTTTTCAGAGGTGAGAGGATGATTTGGAGAAGATTCTTGGTTATCAGATTTCTTGCATTCACAGTATGAACTGCTTCCCTCCGGTAGAAGATACAGAGTCCCAATGTGTAAATTAAATTGTACCAGTATCTGTGCATTTGTTTAACAAGTGTTTATCTTGATGGGTTTTTTAATTATTTGTTTATTGTATGTCTATGCAGCAACATATAGTCCATAACAATTTTCCTTTCGAGAACAAGACATTTTTTTACATTATGTGGCATCTATTTTTATTTTATTTTTTACTTATTTTGGATTATCACATTCAACGCAAAAAAAAAACACAAAACCTTTTTTTTTTTTTTTAAAACCATTGGTAAGGCAAAAACATGCAATAATATAAAACTTCACATACACTTCAGAACCAAAAGAACAAAATGCTCTCAACATGAAGCAAGTCATGGATAGTACAATGGAGCACTATTCTCAGCAAGGGTAACTTTATTTTAAATTGAACATATAACTACATAATTAAAACAAAAAACAATGACAGGCTGATTGTTTAATTCCTATTAACTATTTAACATCTTTCATAAGCACCCACAGCTTGAACAGACACAGGTAATTAAATATTCATCTGTCACAGCCAATCACCAATCATTGTAACTCACAAAAATCACCACAAGAAGGCATAACCTGTTTAAAATCTTTAGACTTGATATGCAGAGCTGAAATTCGTAAAAATCACCACAGGAGGGTGTAGACTAAAATGGCAGCGATGTAATTCATAAAAATCACAGGAAGGCGTAACCTATTTAAGATCATTATATGCAGTGGTGTAATACATAAAAAACACCACAGGAGAGCGTAACCCTAGACTTGATTTGCAGCAGTGCAATTCACAAAAAAACACCATAGGAGGGCAATAAGGGCTTTCCTGGAAAGTTTGCTCTGGGGTGCGTTTCCCAAAAGAAACTATGGTCGCAAGTTCCATCGTCACCAATAGAGTTCAGTAGAACTAACAACCAAAGTTAGCTAACGACGCTTTTGGGAAACGCACCCCGGGATGGTAAACACCTTCAAATTCCTACTGCTCCTTTGTGATTGTGAAATAGGTTGGTGTGCTCCATCTACATTCATTTCTTACTTCCACTGGTTCCATCGAGGCAAAGAGAACAATAGGTAAAAACATTAACGCACGATGGAACGGTTTTATAGTTAAAATTGAAATTGTAATCATAATTCTAACAATGATTCCTGAAAATTATGAACAGACACTGTATTTTTCTGTTTATTACTTAAGCGGCTTTGAAGCAATCGCATTGTTTAAAGTGTTGTATAAATAAACACTAGACTAAATTTGTAGCAGTTTAATTCACAAAAATCACCACAGGAGAGCGAAACCTGTTTAAATGAAATTAATTTAAAAAACCACCACAGGAGGGCTTTATTTTAAAATTTAACATGGAACCACTTAATTAACACTAAAGAGAATGATAGACAGAACTATAACTCCTATTAACTACAAATTTTACATCGTTCATAAGCACCCACAGCTTGAACAGACAGCCAATCACCATCATTGTGTAATGCACAGCAGTCAATGGGTGTTTCTCAAACGGAAGGCTGCATCCTTCGAAGACTGCATATCTCGACTGCCACGTCATCAAACGTCGCTCAAGGTCATCTCAATTGCAAGGATTCTTGGAAGGCAGCCTTCGTTTCGCATTCTTCATTCAGCTGAATTTGAAGGATGCATGGGATGTGTTCTCCGTGACCTTCACTCACCCACAATCCTTTGTACCCATTCCATTTCATGAAAATAAACTGACGAAAAACGATTCAGTACTGAGTGTGTCTGAATTTATTATGAAATGTAAGACACAAATAATGTTTTCAGTCATGATCGCATAGATGTTATTTTTTGTTTTGGTGTAAATTACTCACTAAACACTAAACTGCCAATAATGTAAGCCACCGGGAGACTAGACTGCTGTGATTCATTGTATTGCATTAATAGAAAGCCAAATAATATGATTTGTAATACAAAGCATTTTTCCAAAACTAAGTTTTATTAGTATTTTCGAGCCGTGGCGGTGAGGGTGGAAACATATGTGATGTAGCCACGCACACTTACTAGACTGTCTCATTCTAGCGTTTAATGCCGAGGAGGACTCTAGCCTACAAGACTCTGAAGGACTGAGCTACAAAGGATGCAGCCTCGGTAGGATGCAGCCTTCCGTTTGAGAAGCACCCAGTGTTATACAAGGTGTGTTCGACTTCACTCAGTGGTGTGCTCGCTGCACAATCCGACTGACATCTGACTTAAAGCAATGCATGTTAAAAAAAATTCTACCCTGAGAGAGCAAACTCATTAGACTCGAAGTGCAGCGGTGTAATTCACAAAAATCATCACAGGAGATTTTGGGCACAACCCATGTAAGTCCATTAGACTCGATTTGCAGTGGTGTCATTCACAAAACAGCAATTGTATCACAGACTCTGTGGCTCAGTCGATAATGTTTTTTCCTTCATACATGGGAGTCTTGGTTCAAATCCCACAGTTGTTAAAGTTATTCATCAACTCCACAATGTTTGCTTATGTTAAATCGTTCTCATTACATCCCACTAAGTCACTCAAACACCAAGACTATGTGAGAGCTCTGCTGGGCTGGTGGTGATGGAGACACGAGTTCAAATCACACGGCAGATAATCATATTTACAGGATAGTTTATTATAAAATCACAGGTCACTTACAGGTTGACAGTAAAATATAAGTTCCTGCACAGGGACAGACATGAGATCTGTGGCTCACAGATAAAAGAGCTGTTTCAGATGTTGTTGGTTCGATCCCAGCCAGATCTCACTGATATTAATGTTCCTTTTCATTTAAAACAAAGATCTCAACAAAATACCATCCAAAACACAGCTTAACACACCAGCCTTAGTAGCTCAGTTCATAAAGCGTTGTGGTTTAATCAAGGAGATCTGAGTTCGAACCCCATTAATGCTTATGTTATGTTGTTGGCCTTATATCCAACAAAGTGCCCCAAACGCCATCACTCAGTGTAAGAGCCACAGTGGCACTAGTGGCTAAACAATGTTCATTGCGTTCAAGGCTGTGATTGAAGCATGGGTTCAAGTCCCACCTTAGCGTTTCAAATGACAAACACAATTGAAAGCTGTAACTAGTTTATTGTGAAATATAAGTTCCTTCACATGTTTCAACAAGAGATCTGTGGCTCACAGGTAAGAGTGCTGCCTCATGGGTTCAGAGGTTGCTGGTTTGATCCCAGCCAGGTCTCTGCAATATGAGTGAATGGAGGAGTGTGTGTGAAGGTGTGCCTGAAGAAGGGGGATATCAATATGGTCTCCCCCTGGAGTGTCCAGCACCGTGACCCGCAGTGGTTATACCTTTGCACAGACTGAAAAAATAAATAAAGCTGCATAAAAATTCTCATCCCCTGTCCCTTCCCTTCCCCATCTACTTAGGTTACCATCATTTGCTTTTCAAAGGAAGGCCCTTCAAAAAGAAAATGCTGGTAACCTACATGTTTAGTGCACTAGAACACACATTCACACATGAGATACATTACCTGTCCCTGAGCAGATGTCCATCATTACAGTGAAAGTCTGTCCACACGTCCCAGAGCTCTGCTTCTGTTCAAACACATCCCTTACTCTGTAGAGGAAAGAGAGAAATAAACACAGACATTACTTTATATAGTACATCTAAACCACCAGAATTTAAAAGTTAGTATAAATAATAGTAACGTTACATAAAAACATAGGCATGTAAACAACTGCCTTAATACATACTTAGTTGTCAAACAGCAAGTAGCCTATTTAAACAAAATTTTGGTTAAAAAAACAACACATCAACAAATCCACGCGTGTTTGAGCTTTAGTGTCCGCGTGGAGACACATTAAAAACAACTCATGAAATTCATCATAACATAAATCATAACATAATATAAAACTGTCAGCGGAGCACCGCTACAACATATCAGAGGAAATAATGACACATCAAAACTGAAATACTTGGTTATTAAGTGCAAAGAGTAAGTACTTCAATGTTAGAGCAAGAGAAAAGCACTGCATGTGTGGAGTTTTTTACAGTGACTCGAGATTCCTGCACTTTATTGCAGTGGGTGTCGGTTTGTTTGTGTGCTGGAATAGATGCAGTTTAACCCTGTATCAAAATGACAGCTGACAAACTAATGACTAATATTATGACTAAACATCGAAATGTTTTTGCTTATTTTTATTAACTAATAGAACAGGGCTGATTAATCCTGAGCCACTTTCCCGAGTTTAGCTCCAAACTGATTGAAAACACCTGAAGCAGTTAATCAAGGCCTTTAGGACCGCTAGAAACTTCCAAGCAAGTTTGTTGGACCCTATGTTTCTTATTAAAATAAATAATAATAATACAAATATGAACAAATGATGTTATTTACATGTTGTGTGTTTGTTTATCAGTTTGAGTTTGACATTTGACGGATCAATAAAGTTCTTAAAGATAATTATGATTGTTTGTACATTTGATTCTGACTGATTTGTTAATGCACTGATCTTGGAGTCCTGAGTTCAAATCATGTAAAACAAAGACAAAATCTCAATAAAACCCTGATGTCACAAACGCTGTGGCGCCGAGGATAATTGTTTGCCTTCAAACGTGAGCGTCTTGGTTCAAACTCTGCAATTTACATTTTGTCATAACATCATTAAAAGCCCTCAATAAAAGTCTCTCCAAAGCTCACTTTGACTCCACGGACTGAGTAGCTCAGATGATTAAGTGTTGCGTTTTAATCATGGAGACCTGAGTTCAATCCCACTATTGCTTACTTCAAATTATCGTCGTTACATTCAACAAGGTGCCACAAACGCCCAGTACAAAATGCGAAAGCCACAATGGGTTAACGGTTAAACACATGGTTTCGGCTGATGAGGCTGCAATAGAGGCATGGGTTCGATTCCCACCTCGGTGTGTTCAGACAGCTGATGCCTCATGGTTCAGAGGTTGCTGGTTGGATCCCAGCCATCCTTTTGTGAAGGGATAAGAATGATTCGAAAGAGACTCTGCCAAAGCTTTAACAGGTTTCTTGTCAAATCACATACAGGTTAACAGTGAAATATAAGTTCCTTCACAAGTTCAAGTAAGAGATCTGTGGCTCACAGGTTAGAGCGCTGCCTCATGGTTCAGAGGTTGCTGGTTCGATCCCAGCCAGATCTCTGCGATATGAGTGAGTGTTGTGTGAATGAAGGGATGGGGATGATTCGGGTCCCCCCCGAGCCCCGGCATGATGGCCAGCAGGGGTTATACTTCTTGACAGAAAAAAAATTAATTTTAGCTGTATAAATTTTCAGCACTGCTGTCCCTTCCCCACCTGTTTAGATTACCATCATTTGCTTTAATAGAGGGGTGACCCTCCAAAAAGCAAATGATGGTAACCTACACGTTTAGTACACAACAAAACAAAAACATAAGTTAGAAGTCTTACCTGTCCATGAGCGGACGTCCATCATTACAGTGAAAGTCTGTCCACACGTCCCAGAGCTCTGCTTCTGTTCAAACACATCCCTTACTCTGTAGAGGAAAGAGAGAAATAAACACAGACATTACTTTATATAGTACATCTAAACCATCAGAATTTAAAAGGTAGTATATATATAATAATACATAAAAACATAGGCATGTAAACAACTGCCTTAATACATAGTTGTCAAAATGCAAGTGGCCTATTTAAATAAGATTTTAGGTAAAAAAAAAAAAAAACTACAACACATCAACAAATCCACGCATATTTGTGACCCTGGAGCACAAAACCAGTCTTAAGTCGCTGCGGTATATTCGTAGCAATAGCCAAAAATACATTGTATGGGTCAAAATTATAGATTTTTCTTTTATGCCAAAAATCATTAGGATATTAAGTAAAGATCATGTTCCATGAAGATATTTTGTAAATTTCCTACCGTAAATATATCAAAACTTAATTTTTGATTAGTAATATAAGAACTTCATTTGGATAATTTTAAAGGCGATTTTCTCAATATTTTGATTTTTTTTGCACCCTCAGATTCCAGATTTTCAAATAGTTGTATCTCGTCCAGATTTTATCCTAACAAACCATACATCAATGGAAAGCTTATTTATTCAGCTTTCATATTATGTATAAATCTCAGTTTTGGAAAATTGACACTTAAGATGGTTTTGTGGTCCAGGGTCACATTTGTGCTTTAGTGTCCGCGTGGAGACACATTAAAAACACATTAAATGCATCATAACATAAATCATAACATAACATAAAACTGGCAGTGGAGCACTGCTACAACATATCAGAGGAAATAATGACACATCAAAACTGAAATACTTGGCTAGTGCAAAGAGTAAGTACTTCAATGTTAGTGCAAGAGAAAAGCACTGCATGTGTGGAGTTACTTACAGTGACTCGAGATTCCTGCACTTTATCGCAGCGGGTGTCGGTTTTGAAGCTGAATATATAGCCTATATATGCACTGTGATAACTTCTGTCAGTAACATTACTTACAGTATTCAAGAATGGATTTAAAAATTATATTTAATTTAAAAAATGACACAAGTGTAATTGACAAAAAAAACGACAGGAGGGCGTAACCAATTTAAACTAATTTATTGCAGCGGTGCAATTTAGAAAAATCACCACAGGAAGGTACAATCTGTTTAAGTTTATTAGACTATGGCAAGCCATTTTGACTTTTATTCCTTCACAGGATTACATTTTCATCATTAGCCTATCAAGCACAGACACACAGATAGAGAGAGAAAGGGAGAGAAAGAGTGCAAAAATACAAACACCAATAACACTCTTTGTATCAATAATAGAGACAAAAATTAATACGTCATTAGACATAACACTAGTTAAAATGCTAATTCTTGATATCAGGAATTTGCATTTTTACTAGTAACAAAGTAATTATTGATATCAACAAAGGCAGGTGATATCTGAAATTGCCCTTGCAACTAGTGAAAATAGAATTACTGATATTTTAAATAATATTTTAACTAGTAAAAATACTTTTCAAGAAGTAGGCTATGCTTATTACTAGTTGCAATTTCATTTTTGATATCATAAATGTATTTCTGCGAGTGATGACGTAATTTTTTATATCAAGAATTTATGTCGGCAGTAGTGGAAATGTAATTCCTGATATCAATCAGCATTTCTGATATCAACAATTCATATCCTACATGTGGTAAAATGTTAAAAGGCCGACAAAACTATTACAGATATCAAAAAAATGCATTTCTTACTAGTTAAAATTCTAAATACACACATCAGCTTTGTATTTATTACTAGTAGAAATATAATTTTTGATATCAATAATTACATTTTTACAAGTAAAAATGCTAATTCCTGATATCAAGAATTCAATTGTCACTAGTTGAAATGTTATTGACTACTAGTAGAATTTCTTTTTTTTTTACTAGTAACAATCACATTCATGATATCAGAAATTAATATTGTCACTAGTGACAATCGAATTATTGATATAAAAAATGAACATTTGTACTAGTAGCAATTCTGTTGTTGATATCAAGAACAGACATTTGAAAAACAAAAACAATTGAATATGAATGGCAGCCTATGGTGACATTTAACAAGTGAAAATACAATTACAGATATCAATAAATAATGATAGTTTTTACTAGTTGAAATTTAAATCCTGATATCAAGAATTAGCATTTCAACTAGTGAAAACTGAATTGTTGATAATATCAAGAATTCATATCCTATGAAGGAATAAAAGTCAAAACGGCTTGCCATAATTACAGTAGACTCGAAAAATCACCACAGGAGGGCGCAACATGTTTAAGTTCATTAAACTCGATCTGCAGGGGTGTCATTCAGAAAAGTTACCATAGGAGGACGCAAATTATTTTAGGACAGAACCAAATCACAAAAATATTACGATACAGTCAATACAATTACTTAATAAATGATAAAAGAAATAACTTCATTCCAACATATTTTTATCAGTTGTATAGACCAATTTAAATAGACTCTTTTCTCACATAAGTTTACAGAAAAAAACAAGAGTATCTCAGGTTTTGTCACAACAATCTACTGTGCGAGTCAAGTTAACAAATAAAGGCAGTGCACAAAGATAAGTACGCGATTTGTGTAGTTCGTCACCACTGATGAATAAATATTTCATTTAATTTAATTCAATTTTCTCGCATATTGTGAAATGCAGGCATTGGGCTATTTTTTCTCTGTGCATTATAAAGAAAGGTTTTGTGACACTGCACAGCTTTTACAGTTTACAGACATATCAGCACAATTAATCGATCAGTCCAGTAAACACCAAATACAAACTCAGTTCATATCATGATGTGTGCCTATAAAAGACAACAAAGCTAATGACAATACTTATGGGACTTATGCTGGACTTCATTCTAGTACACAGATGTGCTGCATTAAGCATATACAGTCATTCTTGAGAAGTGGGACAAAACAGGGTGCAAAATTGAAAAAATAAAACCTTGTACTCAGACAAATGAAACTACATTTATGTATCTTATATGTACTAAGCTACTGAGCTGCTTTGATACAACCTCCCAACTTTTCTCTTTTTTAACAAAATGTGCTTTTTTACCTTGGACTGTGTAATATAATTTCAACTTTACCTTTAACAGCATTCAAGATGTTTTTTAACATTTTAAAACACATTCTCGTGTTAGCAGACAGATTACACTTTCACATGTGACCAACAATTCCACAACAAATATAAAATATCATAATGAAATATTATCAAGATATTCAACTGACGGAGGTGACAGAACTGACGGAGTTGACACATCTGACGGAGGTGACGAAAACCTGAATTTGTAGTAATTTTAACTATCAAATACATTGAATCAGTCAATTACTGTATTAAAACAAACACAACAAACAGTGAGTATGTTATAAAGTAACGCATTACTTTTTAATTTACAAGAGAATATCTGAGTTACTTTTTCAAATAAGTAACGCAAGTTACTTTTTTTTCCAATTTATTGATTGACAGCTCTGGTGTTGCCATGGTGACAGAAATCAGAAGCTGTTACTGTAGTTCTAATATAAATATGAATATGCATTCATTCATCTCACTCACAACAACAACAACAACAAAAAAAACACACAGATTCAGTTTTCCTCAAAATGAATCAAAATAATGCAACTCAGAATATGACGCAAACCTGCAATAATTAAAAGTTAAACAACACAAATATGCTTTATGTATTTAATCCCATTCTATTAACCAATGTCTTTGCGTCTGACCTTCGATGATCCAGTTCAACCGTACTAATAAGCAAAAATTACTCTAGACAAACATTTGTGTCTTT